AAACAGTGCATCTGCCTCTGTTTGTCGAGGTAATTAACAGAGCCTAGAAATCTTTGCACAACTTCTACCTTTTCTGCCCTGCGACATCTATCTATGACGTTGTCATATGTCTTACACTGACTCCATTCACCTTTTTAGACTCTATGTGGTACTCACCTGGCAAGCACTCCAGTATCTGAAACGACCACATTGTTCTATTTGGACCCCGCTATCTTCTCTTTGATATGTTGATTTGTTGGAAGATTATTCTATTTTTTTACATATCTCCGATCCTAATTTACCTGCTCTTGATCGTCTTCTCCCTCTATTTTCTTCAATTGTTTAATTGTGGTCTCGTTTAACTTTCTAGCTTTCTCAAGGGTCCAATCTTTCTCGCGTGAATTAAAGCCTGGTCCTAGCCGCACTGTCCAGACGATCTCTCAATCTGATCTATAGTTCCATGTGGTTGCTGCTCAGAAATGTATCTTGTACTGGTACGAAGTGGAACAATCGTACGTTCTTGCATTTTGGCTTTCTGATAATTTTAGTGTTTTAAATATTTTCTTAACGTTGTCACCTAAATCTTCTTAATCTCGCTTGTAGCCTGCGCTTCTGATAGTATTCTCAATGCAGAAGGAAGGTCTGGTAGTTTGGTTGGTCTTGTTTCTCATTGACATCAGCTTTTGCATCAGGCTACTATTTATACTGTCCGTAAAAATTTCCGTCGTTTCTTGTGAAGAACGTGGGGATGATAACCATAGATACCCCACCATAGATACTTTTTTTAACCTGGTACAACAAATACTAAGCAATCTCTGCTTTGGTTCAAGCTGTATTCCAGTAACAGTGCATCTGCCCCTGTTTAGCGAGGTGATTAACAGAGCCTAGAAATCTTTGCACAACTTCTACCTTCTCTGCCCTGCGCCATCTATTCATTCACTTTTTCAGACACTATGTGGTTCTCACCAGGCAAGCACTCCAGTATCTCAAACGCATCTTTATATTCCATATCTAGCGAGTCTATGGACTCGACCACATTACTGGCCTTTTCCGGCACATTATTTATTGCGACCCTGATATTTTTCTTTGATATATTGACTTGTTGGAAGATTATTTTATTTCTTTACATATCTCCAAACCTAATCGACAGGCTCTGGTGTTATCAAGACACATTACTCTGCCTTCTTAGACTGATGTTATATGAAGATACATTACTCTGCCTTCTTAGACTGATGTTATATGAAGACACATTACTCTGCCTTATTAGACTGATGTTATATGAAGATGCCGATTACTCTAGCTGCCTTCTTAAACTGGTGTTATCAAGACACATTACTCTGCCTTCTTAGACTGGTGTTATCAAGATACATTACTCTGCCTTCTTAGACTGATGTTATATGAAGATACATTACTCTGCCTTCTTAGACTGATGTTATATGAAGATACATTACTCTGCCTTCTTAGACTGATGTTATATGAAGATACATTACTCTGCCTTCTTAGACTGGTGTTATATGAAGATACATTACTCTGCCTTCTTAGACTCAGTGATGTTATATGAAGATACATTACTCTGCCTTCTTAGACTGATGTTATATGAAGATACATTACTCTGCCTTCTTAGACTGGTGTTATATGAAGATACATTACTCTGCCTTCTTAGACTGATGTTATATGAAGATACATTACTCTGCCTTCTTAGACTGATGTTCTATGAAGATACATTACTCTGCCTTCTTAGACTGATGTTATGTGGAGATACATTACTCTGCCTTCTTAGACTGATGTTTTATGACGTTACATTATTCTTCCTTCTTAGACTGATGTTATATGAGGACACATTACTCTGCCTTCTTAGACTGATGTTATATGAAGACACATTACTCTGCCTTCTTAGACTGATGTTATATGAAGACACATTACTCTGCCTTCTTAGACTGATGTTCTATGAAGATACATTACTCTGCCTTCTTAGACTGATGTTATATGAAGACACATTACTCTGCCTTCTTAGACTGATGTTATATGAAGATACATTACTCTGCCTTCTTAGACTGATGTTATCAAGATAAATTACTCTGCCTTCTTAGACTGATGTTATATGAAGACACATTACTCTGCCTTCTTATAGACTGATGTTATATGAAGATACATTACTCTGCCTTCTTAGACTGATGTTATCAAGATACATTACTCTGCCTTCTTAGACTGATGTTATATGAAGACACATTACTCTGCCTTCTTATAGACTGATGTTATATGAAGATACATTACTCTGCCTTCTTAGACTGATGTTGTCAAGACACATTACTCTGCCTTCTTAGACTGGTGTTATATGAAGATACATTACTCTGCCTTCTTAGACTGATGTTGTCAAGACACATTACTCTGCCTTCTTAGACTGATGTTATATGAAGACACATTACTCTGCCTTCTTAGACTGATGTTATATGAAGACACATTACTCTGCCTTCTTAGACTGATGTTATATGAAGACACATTACTCTGCCTTCTTAGACTGATGTTATACGAAGATACATTACTCTGCCTTCTTATATAGACTGGTGTTATATGAAGATACATTACTCTGCCTTCTTAGACTGATGTTATATGAAGACACATTACTCTGTCTTCTCAGGCTGATGTTATATGAAGATACATTACTCTGCGTTCTTAGACTGATGTTATATGAAGACACATTACTCTGCCTTATTAGACTGGTGTTATCAAGATACATCACTCTGCCTTCTTAGACTGATGTTATATGAAGACACATAACTCTGCGTTCTTAGACTGATGTTATATGAAGACACATTACTCTGCCTTCTTAGACTGGTGTTATCAAGACACATCACTCTGCCTTGTTAGACTGGTGTTATCCAGACCAGTTTTTTTCTAATGCACGTGATTGGGCAAGGCGGTATGACCCGAAATTATTTGCACCTGCATCTTTTGGGCTAAAATTATATGCATTTAAATTAGCGTGCCAGGATCTTCATATCACTCATCTATAGTTTCGGTACTTGATGTGGCTGAGGATATGGTCATCTCTGACGTACAGAAAGGTTATATCAGAGATATTTCACCGTACGCAGGCTTCCATGGTTTCAATTGCTGAAATCTTGTTTACATTTCGCAGACTTGTAGACTTATCCTGGATATTAAATTTTTCATTATCCATCCCACCACCACCACCACCGCATTTTTTTGCTACGTTACGTAATAATAGACGGGCCACGTGCTCTATCTTCAATTTTTAAAGTTCTGCATGGTACTGACCGTCAGCTTCGTTGCTTCTGAAAAGCATCATCTCGATAGCTCAGAATTCTACGCAAATTATGTTCATGTAATTTAGGAAAGTTAACGTACAAACAGCATTTTATCGATTCTCTGGCAGAAATTACGTAGTAACTAGTACACTTCACGTTAATCGTCGTGTTTGGCTAATGCAATCTCTGGATTTCATCTTGAACAGCAGACAAAACGTTTTCAGCAGACTTCATTTGCGATCTTTGCGTTTAGATTCAATCAATTCAGTCGAAACTCAGAAAAGACCTAAGCTTAAAAAACTATTAAACCTTATCCACGCGTTTGATCCCAGTTCTCACTTCTCAATTTCATATTTAGTAGACTTAATTAAGTGTGAAATGTTTTATAGAACAACCACAATTTATTTGCCAAATTAAAATACGAGAATCTACAATCTAAGTCCACAATCAAGAACTTCTGTATGTTTGAGCACGTCATTCATTCATGCTCTCCGCGATATCACAAAAAAATCAACAACGCTTTCCTCACAAACATGTTCTTAAGCTGTTGTTTGAATTAATTTTTGTAAATTTCTTCCACGCAAAGTTCTGAAAGCACTCGACGCTTTTGTACGTAGAAACGAATTTTGAAGCATGGCGAATTTTGTACATACCCATAATTCACTTTGTCCATTTCACGAAATGTTCATCTCTGTCTTTTTCCTGACTCAACTTTGCAGCTGCATGGTTGCTTTCATGTATACAGAAGAATATTTACTTCATGCGGTTTTTACGTTTTTTATGTCTCATTTCCTATTTTTGCTCAGCATTTTATAAACACCAAAAAATAAAGTTTAAACAAATCTTTTCATGGCAATTATCAAGACTAATTATCACGAGTAAAAACTACTACTAAAATTTCTGCAATCTGATTGGCTACGCTACGTCTCTGTGCGATTTTTCATTTTTACAAGTTTTTTTTCTAAAAAAATACCTCTGGCTAATACATGGCTCTTGATTTCTATGATAAGATAGACGTTGCCCTCATTCGATAATAAGGACCTTAAGATACACCAAATCTACGACGCTGACGTGAAGTAATATACTGTCTTCATTTCCACAGTTTCACAACAGGGGCCAGTTGTTCAAAAGCTGGTAAAATTAACCCTAACTGGGTTATGGCAAATCTTTATATTTTCTAATCGCTTGTTTACGAAGTTTAATATCTTTTTTTATAAATATTTTCTGGACCGATGGAAGTAATATTTTCCAAAGTTTTAAAACGAACGGTCGTTCAGAAGCACATGAACTAAAACACTGGATTAAAATTTAACCCAGGGTTTGCGGCCCCAGACTTCTTTTATGGACTCCTTTTAGTGAACGAGGTCAGAGCTGTGTGTAAAACTAATTAAAGCTGAGTTCCTAACACTGATTAGCGGCTAATTTCATGTCACGTCCGGGTCGTAGATTTGCTGTATCTTAAGGTCCCTAATTACTCTACTTGTCAGGAGCCGCTTGTATCAAGCCCGTTTAACTTAAACGGTGGTTAAGTTCAAAATAGAAAGCAAGTCTATCGTTTTATTCAACAAGCGAACTAAATATCTTTCACCTCAATACAAAGTTCCTTTTTACAACTACATATTGAGTGCATAATATCCAAGTTGATTCATTCAAGAGAGACGTTAAGAGTGTTATTAAATTTTGACTTGTCACACTCCCAGTTTAAGCTAAACGAGCTTGATACAACCGGCCCCAGGTAGTCAAACAGTGGATTACTCCTAGGTTTTTGACTTGGAAACTATAAGATTCTCGTTATTACAGGTGATAACAGTGATGGTGCCCGTTTAGATCTTGATGACATTGAGAGAGGCCAAGGGTAAGTTTAGGCCTAGAAACTACATTGGATTAATATTACCGTGAACGTTATGCGACCTCGGCTTATATATCCTCTATTTATCTGGCAAAATAATTTGCTTTGGTGATTTTTGTTTCTTCAAATGCAAGTCGGAACCATTTTCTTCTTATCATACCTCGATTAAAACTGTTCATGCATTTGTTGTTAACCAGCAATATGGTGTGAGAAAACGTAACTTTTAAAATTTATATCCGTAACTATATTTCGAACAAATCTGTTTATTATGTTGACATACCTGAAATTCGACATCTTCATTGTCAGCGTGATGTATGGTAGAGGTATTGCAACAGTCTGCTAGTATTGAGTTAAAGATTCAAAATATCAATCTTACATTTGCTGACGGTATTTTATCAATTTTTCACGCAGTCATGCCGCTCGTAGAACATCAGATCCAAGAGAACAATTTGTGGTATACGAAAACGTGAGTAGCTACATGAATACTTAGGAGAAAGCGCATGTATACAACTATCTTTAGTCTAGTGAAGACAAGCAAATATGGTTTGGACAATTTGATACCGAGAATACAGCTATTATAACAATCCGGTAAAAATCGCAGCAACTATAGCAATATAATCCGATTTAAAGTAATGTTAGTATAACTAACAAGCAAATACCATTTGTTGCGCGACAAAAGTGTTTATTAACAATTTAATACATATTTACATGAAAATAATAATTATTAATTCGGTCAGCATTTTGCTTTTTCTTTGGTTTTACTATCCACCGTATATGAGCTGATATACGGTGGTATAGCTCGACCGATCAAATTGCGGAATAGCTCATATACAGTGAGTAGCTATACTATAACAATTTATACATATACAACAATGATCATGACAAGCGCAAGTTTGGCACAACATCAGGCAAGTATTTTACAAACGTTTAACGATATTTTTTTCTAGAATCTTTATTCTTTCTTCACCGTTGCTTTACAGCGTCGCGTGTTTTTTCTTAGCTATTAGTGATCGAGTTTGAGATGCACAAAATCTACGAAGACTCTTTTTCATAAACAAAGTCAGAGCCGTATGTAAAAAAATTAATACTGGTTTCCTAACACACGTTTTTCATGTCACGTCCGCGTCGTCGTAGATTTGGTGCATCTTAAACTCGCTATTTAATTGATGTGGACTGGCCATGACACCGCGGTGAAAGCTAGAACGGCATGCGCAATTGTTAGAGTTTATGAACGCCATTTGACGTCAGTGTGTGAAAGGATCTATTATTGTTCTTTTGTTCGATTAATGTTGACTACTTGATGCGGTAGCTTCCAGCCAGAAATGTCCTCTTCAAAATTAAATGCTAGGAGAAGGACTGGGTAACTCCATTCCAGTATTGGAATAGCACATTTAGCTACATATACCGCACTGAACCAGTGAAATCTTGTGTTGTTGATATTATTATAGAGCTTTAGGTTGATTACGAGTGAGTAATGCCCCTTGGGATAGGATAGATCGCGGGATAAAGTTTTGGATTATCTGAAAACATGATGGAGAATCCCGTATGTTGTTGCGGGTGAATCTTGTCGTTCCACTCAACTCGTAGTCAACTCTAAAGATCTCTATTTTCACAGGAGTGTGAGGTCCGCTTTGAACGAGTCCGCTTCCAACGACGCAGTGTGCCAATATTAAGCGTCGACGAATCGACAAGAACCAACCGGAAGCTACTACTGTCCGACGAGGTACCGACGTTGCCCAAGACCACCAAGCAACCCCAGAAACCTAAATAGTTCCGGCTAGATTTCCAACAAACCGACCTGTACCATCCAACGGAAACTCACAATCAATTGCCACAAGTCCAGTTAATCAAATTGTTACAAAGAACGGTGGTTTGGATTTTGGTGAACCACCAAAACTCTGTAACCTAACATCGGTTGACAACACCGTCACCCCCAGTAAACAAGAAGATCTTGGAAGCCTTTTCCAACGATCCTGTTGAAGCAACTGGTGAAACCAATCCACTTGCCAAGTATTTTTCAACGCGAGGAAATACATCATCTACCTCAAAGGAAGCGGCTACTCCAACACCGTCACCATCAGTAAACAAGAAGATCTTGGAAGCCTTTTTCCAACGATCCTGTTGAAGAAACTGGTGAAACCAATCCACTTGCCAAGTATTTTTCAACGCGAGGAAATACATCATCTACCTCAAAGGAAGCGGCTACTCCAACACCGTCACCATCAGTAAACAAGAAGATCTTCGAAGCCTTTTCCAACGATCCTGTAGAAGCAACTGGTGAAACCAATCCACTTGCCAAGTATTTTTCAACGCGAGGAAATACATCATCTACCTTAAAGGAAGCGGCTACTCCAACACCGTCACCATCAGTAAACAAGAAGATCTTGGAAGCCTTTTCCAACGATCCTGTTGAAGAAACTGGTGAAACCATCCACTTGCCAAGTATTTTTCAACGCGAGGAAATACATCATCTACCTCAAAGGAAGCGGCTACTCCAACACCGTCACCATCAGTAAACAAGAAGATCTTGGAAGCCTTTTCCAACGATCCTGTTGAAGCAACTGGTGTAACCAATCCACTTGCCAAGTATTTTTCGACACCAGCTCCGGAAGTTAAAACAACTGTTAAGGTTGAGAAGTTTGTTGAAGTTAAAGCACCAACTTCAACCCTTCCACCAGACGAATACGTCGTTGAACAAGTTGTTGAAAACTTAGTTCAAGCAGTCGTTGAAGTTGGACCAACATCACCGACTTCGACACCTTCACCAGACGAAAACATCTTGAGGTCCGTTGCAAAAGATTTAGTTCAAGCAGCTATTGAGACCAGCAAAGAAGAGTTAATATCCGAGCAAATATCGCGTTTTGATTCATCTGCCTCTCAAGTTAAGAAGTTTGTAGAAGTTCAGGCGTTATTATTAAAAACGTCGACTTCGACCGTCCACCAGACGAATACACCTTGAGGGCCGTTGCTAAAGACCTAGTTCAAGCAATATTAAAGCAAGTCAGGTGGATTTATTCTCCGAAGTAACATTGTTAGACAGCTCCTCCTCAGATCAGCCTTGTAAGAATAAGATGTCAAACAATCAACACTCGTCGGCACACGAGTTCTTTGACAGCTTTGGTTCATCCGATTCCGGCACTGCACCTTTCATCGTGTTGACCACAGTTTCTTTACGCCTAACAAGAATCAAACATCGTTCCGGCCTTGCCACCAACATCGAATGCAGCCGAGCAACGTTTCGTATCGCCAGCGACAAACGCTCAAAATTTTGAGCCAGCAAATCTGAGCGCGTATGCACATCCACGTCAAAATGTAGGAGACCACGCCATGTCGATGCAAGAACCATCATATGGGGCACAGGAGCGATATTCAACAGCTCAACTCTTTAGTGAAGCTGGTGCTTCAACTACTAAAGAAACACCTCATGCCAAACAGCTCTCGGATGCTGAGAACCATGCAACATTGACTCCACCATCTTACGGGTCAAATTTGCCAGAACAGCCTTCTGCCCATACTGGAAACGACCTGTTTAACGTGGCAAAATCATCTACTCCTGGTGGTGGAACGTCACAGTTGTTTTCCGGGCAGCACCAGAATGATCCTTTCAAAGGTTTTAGTTCTAGTCAGGAGGAGAGCCGAAGATTTCCTTCTTTTGTAGCAGGAGATGGAGTGCCTGGTTTTTCGATCAATACCGATGCACAACATTCTTTCAGCATACAGAAGCATCAGAGAAAGAACCTAAAGTAGGGAAATGGCCTTTCGACCACAGTGAATCGGCAGCATCTCAAGTTGAACCACCTTCCAGTCGAGACCAAAACACCTACCATGCATCTTCAGCTCAAAACTTGCACGCACCGCCATCGAGTTCAACTTTTCCTGATTTCGACCAGAAAAATTATTCACTTGGGGACACAGCCACAGTATCTTCTGATTCAGCTATGGCATTCAGTGGTATTTCTAGACCCAATACCGTATTGGGTAACCAGAGTAAGACTTCTGGCGAAACATTACCAGGCCAAGACGTTGAAACTTACGATCCAATTGGAAAACAACCAGTTGAACTTGCCAGCAATTTATACCACTGAACGCAACGCTTTTCCAGCTGTTCAATCTACAACTTCTGGCCTATATCCACCAGCAATGGTGAATGATGCTATTGACCAAGCCGCTGGTCCATCGTCGCAGAGTGTAACGCCGGCTTTCTACCCACCAGGTTTAACAACCAGCAAACCAGTAGGTCAAAGCGGCTCCTTGTACCCACCGGGAATGGATCTTGGGGAATCAAGCAAATTTCCACCGTCCAATATCAAGCGTGATGTAAACTCGGCACATTTGCCTCCGCCATCTTTAGAGATGATGAACACCACCAACAACAATGTTGGTGAACGTTTTTCTCCTGGGCACAACCTTTTCCCAGCCACTAAACCTGCCGCTCCAAGTCAAGGGTTCTTTATGGAAGACGGCCAAAAGTTCTTGGCACAGAATCAAATTCATCTATTTTCACCAGCTGGTGCTTGGACGTCAACAGAGGACCTAGCTGAGAACCAATCTGCGGCACAGAATTCCATTCCAACATCTTCATCGTATGCACCAATGGCAGGCTATCCTGGAGAAACCCAGTCGGCACAAAGGAAACTTGCTTCATCCCTCACGTCTGACAATGCCGTTAATTCTGAAGCGTCTCAGCCTGGATTTTCTATAAACAACGAGGAAAATAATCAGGCTTTACGTTCAGACGTTGTACAACCTGATACACCGCAGTTGGGACCAAGCAGCATGGTACCTTTTACTAGTAAAGAACAACTGCCCAGTAACCATCAAACAGCATGGCAACCGGCTACTCAGCCATTTGATTCGCAGGCATCAAGCGACGATGTCAAGGCTGAACCAACTCAGTGGGACGCTATTGATCCTCACGGTACTCCACGGAATACCCAACAAGCATCAACATTGCAACAAACAAGTGGACCAGTAAATGTGGGTGAAAAGTCCAGCGGGATTTTTTATACTCACCAATCGTCAAACGATCAGTCAGCACAATTTGGTAACCATGGTGCTGGCACTATCGGTTCAGCTAATCTTGAATCAAGTTTAGCCAATTTGGACACCATGACCGCTCGTGACGATGAATCTCGTGATGGTAATTCACTATAAGGTCACCAGGAAGTTCCAGCATTTGGTCACGAGCGAGTGAATTCACTCAATACAAGTGATCCCAAACTTGATACACCTCCGGCTAACGCAAGCACCATCATCTCCAATGATGACCTAACATTGGGCAACCAGCAAGCACTGTCCAGTCAACATTTGGGTGCTTCGGTTACCATGTTTCCTGTTGGAATGACACCACAGAACACCAATAAAGCATCTATTGCTTCGACCGAGACCAGAGGGAGTCAACTGGATACCGTCGACCCGAACCAGCATCCGTCGGCCTTTATGCCAGTGAAGCCAAATTCTCCAAACTCCCAAGACTACGAAGAAAGAGTTCGGCACTTAGAATCTCCGCTTCGTTCGCCAGTACAGCGCGAGAAAAAGGAAGCATTAATTCAAAGTGCTAAAATTCATACTTCTCTCTGGGACAATGATCCTCAATTGGCCATACCTGGTCTTATTGTCCAAACAGGGAATCGTGGAAATCAGTTTGTTCCAGTTTCCAGCCATGACGAATTTAATCGCCATGAATTCGACAACAGTTCTCAAAGAGCTATGAATGTGCATGGCCAACCGCCAAGTTCCAGTGGTATTTCGATCGACCATAATGCCAAAATATTGCAGCAACCACATTCTATTGTCGCGCCATCAGATATGGATATTTCTGGCTTCACACAGAATCGTAATCGATTCAGAAGTACTCCATCAAAGTTGCCAAATCCACCTGTGGCCTCCAGCGCCGCTCAGCAAACCCTGTTAGCGGCTGCTTTGCAGAGAAGTGATTGTGACTCGACATCCATCTTAGTCGCCAAAGTTCACTTGGTGTTTCAAGTTCAAATCAAGAACTCGCCAGTGCAAACCCTGTTCATGATGTGATCGAAAAGCCATCTAGTCTTAACCGAGGAAATATCCAACGGTGAGTATGGCTCTCTACCAAGAATAGCGATTTTTCACACCTCGATCGAAACCCGTTTTCAAATCCGCCACAAACTAAGCAACTATTGTCTCACGATGGTCCAAAATCTCACACTACTAACCATAACCTAAAAATAACAATAATCTGAGATATCAGTAATCGTTCAGTAATTTTTTAGTTAAAGTAAAGAATATAGGAAGATTAATAAAATTCTAGGATGTATAGAGAGCGACAGAAGTGTCAGCAGGGTAGACGCAGGTTCTTACAAGACATTGTGCACGGATTTCATAATTTTTAAATTGCTCAGCTATTTGTTGTCTTACAATAATTATTTGTTTCTTCGGTATTAATTATTCATTCTTCGTAACCTGCGTTTATTAACCGTCATTTGAGACGTTGGAGTCAACGTGGACGACTCTTGGCTTAGAGAAAGCATATTAAAATTAAGCGTTAATTAAGAGCTTAAAATTAAGAGTCTAGTTGTAGAATTAACGTATTACATTGTACAAATTTGCATTTTAAACTATCTAAAATTAAATATAATACCGATATTAACTGGTACATAACGTAATAGTGTGACCTATTAATAAACGGCGTCAACGGATCAAAACCTATTCAGTAAAAAGTTTTCATGGTGTTTCTGGGGGCGAATTATTTATTTTGGTTTCAATTAACGGACCAGACTGTTGATACTTTTAATTTTTTAGGCCAAATGTCATCCAAGCGCCTGTAGTAAACAACATTCCTTCCTCAAACCAGATTCCTGACCAGCACTTGCAACAGACTGCCCCTGCTTCTGGGACCATGACCGGTCTCCCCCAGAACTCCTTCACACATCCTGACGCCAGCCGCTCTGCAGTGCGTACCGGGTTGCCTCAGAGTGAGCATGCTCGGATGCGTGAAGGTAGTGTGGGGGAATGGTCCCTGAGTATGGTGGCGCTGATGGTCATGTTGACCATCCTGTTGCTACCAGTGATGGTTATGGTTCTGGCCAGATGAAGGTATGGTTTCCTCGAGTGAACAGGAACAGCATCAGTTGTTATACCAACAGCAACAATTGCAGTACAAGCAACAACAGTACGAACAAATGCTGTTTCAAGATGAGTTCAGCTCGCAAAATCAGCAGCTGCGAGGAGGACACATGAATGTACAGCGACAAAGGTCTGAACCGAATCAGTTTTCTCGACAACATCATTTGCAACAGCAACAACAGTTGCAACAGCAACAACAGTTGCAACAGCAACAACAGTTGCAACAGCAACAACACTTGCAGCAGCAACAACAGTTGCAACAGCAGGCACAGGAGTACCAGCAGAATATTCAACATCAAAAAGTGGAAAGGTAAATGAGATATTTTAAAGTACTCTACAATAGACTGTATAAAGTTCTTAAAACCACCTTAGGCACCGAAAGCAGTAGTTAAGTATTACAATATTGTATACGTAGAAGCCAATGTTTCTAGCACTTAGACTACATGACTACTATGGCGAAGTGGCAAGCACATTCACGAGATCATGAAATTACTGGCTAAATTTGTTAAAACACAAAATTGAAGTAATTTTTCGCACATTATCCTCTCGTGTTCAACTAAAAAAATCCATCATTTGTAGGCAAATTAGCGGGCAATACCCACAGTAAGTTAGCAGCAATGTTATTCTACAGTATTCAACCAACGATACTGATCAATGGCAGCAGCATGGCAACACTGATACACAGTATGAAGATTTTGATTCAGAGGAGGAAAGCAATCGATATTATGATGAGAGCAGAAAGTGGTTTTGGTCTTTCAAAAGAGAACGGTGGATCCGTGCAGAGAAGTAAGTGCTGTTTTATGCGGAAGTGGTTTGAATTCAGACAACAGTATTTCTCATACAAACTATTTGTTTCAAGCAGCAGGCGAGAAAGCCAGTATGATGATCAACGATATGACAGATCTGACTCGAGAAGAAGTCGCAATCGTGAGCGAAGAAGAGAGAGCCAGGGTAGAAGACGAACAGACTACAATGACCGAGCATTTTATGATAAATATTATCGTGATTCTTATGATCGGGATTACCATCGTTGGGAGTCTGACTCTAGTGGGTCCAGTGGTGATAGTCAGCGGCGTGGTTCTCGTTCAGGACGATCATCTCGGGCCGAGTCTCCACGTTCAGTTTCAACACGGTCGAGCTCGCGGGCTCGACGAAGTAACTACCGCCACTCGAAACGAACGGTCTACGACTATGAAGATTCGTAAGTTCTTAACTTTCACTGCATTCGAGAACGATTTGATGCAAATTACAAGGCTACATTCCAAAGTGGACATAGATAATGTCCTTACTGACCCAAAGCTTTTCATGGCTCATAGTTCTACATTTGTTTCTGATTGAAAGAAAAGTAATAATACTTGCAACGTATTGCAATGAATGACAAAGTTGTTTACAATACTTTTCGTGCAGTCGTCGAGCTTTTTAAGTCAACCTTCTCAATATTTTCCATTCAGTAATCGCAGAGGCGAGGACTATTATGGTCGAAGTCACCAATCATCTCGTAGCTCAAGACGATTGAGCTCAGGAAGTTACAGCTCATCCACGTCAAACTCTCTGGGAGAAAGCATCAAGCGGGATGACCAGAACAAGCAACAACAGAGTAGTGCAATCACCGCTGAAGATACGGTTAAACGGAGTAAGATTTAAGTAGAGTAGTAAACAGCGGTGGATGAAGCCTGGCGAGATATCAAAAATCCGAAGACCAAAGTTTCAAAATCATCAGAAAACTTGTAGTACCATTTATTACTGCACTGCATGGAATCGCTCGTTCGATAACTGTCACGAGGTCTAACAGGTCCTGTGGTTGTTTATCCTTAGCTAAAATCGTAAATATATTTTCCACTGTTGTAGTAATTACTCCTGAACGACTAACCCCGAAGCAGCATACAAAACATCATATTGTTGGAGCGTTTTCAACCGCCTCTCGATTGAGTGTTGCTCCAGCCAGACAGGTCCTTGATGCTGAGACTGCTGAAGTGTACTTGACTGATGTCAAGGTAATCATATAGCTACGTCATATTAACTATTTCTTTACGTATAACTACAACGGGGACGACACTTTAATACTGTTCTAGGCTTCTCGCGGAAGACAAATTCCAGTTAGATGTATTGGTGTAGGTCTGAATGTGAGAGATAGTCATAGTCGTTTGTATAATAACAGCGGAGACAGAAATTCTGTGATATTGAACTGATGCTAGCTTAGTCTAAGCCTTATTTGTATAGATTTCTAGTAACAGTATTACACTCAAGACCAATACTAGCGTATTATTTGACTTCCAGGGAGATCAGATAGATCAGAAACAGCAAGCGTTAGCTCTAATCAATCAGGTTGGTTATCCCTTGTCAATTGACAGGTTGCGACATACCTATAATATTCTACAGTATAAATTGACGCATATGATCTTGTTTTATTCAGAGCGAAGGAAGATTCAACGAGGGGATGCGCAATTTCCCTGGACCACTTTGCAGGTAAAATGCCAAAATAATGGCTGGTTTAAGACCATTTCATTTCTGGAGCCAGGATATGATTGATCGGCACTAAGACTGTATTATCACTCAGCATTTGAAAAGCATACAAATTTTAACGAGAAAAATTTTGAAAAACTTATAGTCAATGTTTTATTCTACTGTATTTTTCACAGGGGCAAAACCCATAAACGGGATGTTGTAAAGTATGCCAAAGAGATGGCCATGATGGCTTTCAACAACCAAAGCGATTCTTTTGAAAAACGCGAGGCTGGCTACATTCTTTGGCAAGTGTTGGCTGTTATGGTCCAACATAATGGGGTAAGAACTACATTCAGTCTTTCTGCATGGATAAAAAATATAAAGATTGTGTGATTAGCTTGCTTTTAAACAGTCTGAAAGCACTGGATCAAAATAGTTTCCCGAGTAATCTACATTTTAATATGCAGAGTTTTTAACTCTTTCTGTTGGCTTTTTCTTCATTGGTTGAACTACGATCTTTATTCCAGGTGTACTTCAACACCGATATTGCCGAGGTTCTAACCTCGGACCTACCCGAAGATTCTTATACAAGACGGGAACAAAGTTTTTCCAGCTCTCAAAGGGTATCCTTTGCAGCTGATGGGCAATGTCATTCCAAACACGATCAAGTCGCGACATATCGAGAGCTTCTCTTGGCTGGCAAAACACAGGTACGCTGTTTACTAATCTTGCCATCGCTCTTCTGTTGCCTGACGAAAGCCCGCTCTCCTCCTTGCGAATTCGTTCGCACGAAGTGGTAAAAAGAAGAGAAGGATTAATCTTTACCATTACGTGCGCTTGTATTGAAAGAAGCATGTGTAGAAAAATACCTTTGAACATTGTTAACCTGTTAGACGTAAGAGCTATTCCATGCAGAAGATCTAGAAAGCAATTCATTCTATCTACAGTTTCTTTACGGTTTTTTTAGAACGACACTGCACGTGCAAATAGTTTGGCCGTTATACGAGCTTAGGGTTATTCATGAATTCCGGCTATATATTTATACTCGCGGCGAAGTGGAGAATAATACAACTGTTTTATCATTTTATTCATTTCCATCCATAGGAAGCTCTGGAACACGCAGTAAACTCCAAGATCTGGGGCCACGCCTTGATGTTAGCATACCACACTGACCAGAATGTATTTTCGAATATCATGGAAAGGTAACGACATTTATTCTTTGCTTGCTATATTTGAATTATTCTACTTGTTGTTTACACGTTAGCAACTTTTTTACACGTTTCTCTCAATTGTGTTCTTGCTTGATCTCTCGTAACTGCTTGCAAATGTCTATTTTTCCATATTGTACATGTGTCAGTATATTTTCCAATGCTTTTTCGCATTGTTTATTGTAGATTCAACAGTCAACTTAATGAGGACGATTCCTTGTTATGTTTGTATCAGCATCTCGGGTCTAAGCGACCTTCAATTTTAGATGTGAGTTTTAAGAATTCTCTTTTCTGGATTAACCCCTGCGAGGTCGTGGACCAATGTGGTTCACAAACCCGGTTCATTTCACGTGGAATATATAAAGCTATAGGTTTTTATACCCCATCTTTTTTTTGTCAAAATTTAGAAAAAGACAAGGCGATGGAGAAAACATTTGGCAATCATGATTTCAAATCCATCCAAGTCAACCGCTAAAGATAGCGAAAATATTCATGCACTTGGCGCGAGCTTAGGTAAGTTCAGTTTGGATAAGCCAGGGATGGTAATTTGTCCAAGCTACGTTGTGGTATGCGTGATCAAGTTGATGCATTTTCACATACGATGATAACTGCTTAAACAAGTCACGAGGACACTGGCAACGTTTCCTTCAAGAGATTCTTGTTTCGATTGACATTTTAGGTGAATGCACGCATGCAAGACCTACTGCTTGTGTTTGTTGCTATCATGCAAAATGTTACTTTCTCTTTTCCAGAGTCTCGTGGCCTGATTGAAGCAGCTCATCTTTGCTACATATTAGCAGGAGAAGGAATTAGTAAACAGAGTGGCACAGTGTTACTAGGTTATTCTTCGAAGTAAGTTGAAGAGTCGCATTGTCTGTCTGTTTAATGAACATAAAGGTTCATGGTTCATCTTCTCCCAAACTTAAACTCTTGTTTTCTGTAGTGAAATCCGACCAGAATTCGTGGATTTCCTGGCTCTTCAACGCACAGAGGTAGATGGCAGAAATGCTTACAAATCCTTTATTGAAGCCGCTATACATCTGCCATGCAGCATGCTCCAGAATTCTCTCTTATGTTTTTTTCACTTTTATACAAACCCTTATTCCGCCATTGCCTTTTTATTGCTTTACTTTCACTCTGCTTGCCAGTCGACCTAAACATTCATCCGTTTTTGCCTGCTACATGCTTGTGTTATAAAATTGTTTAAAATCAGTCAAAAGCCGGTATTGTGTTTGTATGCTTGTTAACCAACAACATGTTCCTGTAGATATATGAATACGCTATGAGCCTCAAAGATGAAAATTTTATAATAAAAGATTTCCAGGTTAGAAATTACTTCATTGTAGATTTCTCTAATGTGTGTTGAACTTTCAAAAGCAAACAAGTGCCGCATAAGTTGTTCAATTCAGCGTCTCACTTTACTTCGTATTTCAATACTTGCTTACGTTTCCGCAAATTGCGGGGATATCTATTCTATAGAATAAGATTTTTTGAGATCAGAAGATAATTCTATACTTGGTTGGTCCTGGAGTTGAACCTTCGCTGCACATTCTTTAACGTTATGTTTTTTTTCAGCCATGGAAAGAATTGTACGTCCATTCATTGGCCGATGCCGGATTCCATAATAAAGTTAGTAATTGTTATATCTTCGTTTGACTTATGGTGTTACTCCACAAACTTCACAATCTTTTATTTAACACGCGTGGATTGTCTTATTTAGGCATTTCGTTATTGCGAGAAATTGGTAGATGATGTCTTGAAGCATTCAACATCCTTTACTAAAGATATGATAACGCGACTTCATGCGGTATGTCATCATTTCTCGCCTTACCTTTCGTTCCCGTTCTCAAGTAAAACTACGCATATTTATTTAAAATAGACGTTTTAGACCTGTTCTAGCCTTCGCTCAAATCAAGAAATCAAAAGCGAATAATAAATTTTTAAATAGCTTATTGTTTTCAGATACAACCTGATATACACATGGTTAAATCGTTTGATGCTCAAATTTTCTTTCCTTATACAGTTATCCATGAGACTTTACAGACGAGAATTTATTGCGCCGTTATTAGATATGAACGGACGCCTGCAACAATTGTTAGATCTACTCAAGGTACGAAGTATATTTTTATTTTACATGATTTTTATGTCGATCCTAAAATCTGCAAGTGAAACTTTGCGATCAAGAATTAGACAGCGTCGTTTCTGTGAGGACACGCCAACTGATGCTGTCCTGGAAGCATGCTTGCAGTTTTCCATGCGAAACGTTTCTAAGGCGTGTTAAAAATTGTCTTTTTAGGAAAACAACGAAACCTTAGGGCACTCGTTCTTGTCTACCAGCAGCTGGCAAACATTGGCGCAACAACTACCTCAGCAATCGCAACTTCCACAGGAAATGCCGTATGAACACACGCAAAACATTGATAATAAAGAAGTTCAAAATTCCACTACAATGGTACCTACAATGTTTGTTCCTCAAACAAATAGTGACAAAGTCCAGGAACAAGTTTTATATCGCGAGGACAACAAAGCTTCTCAGAGTTTTGCTCAATTCGAGCCCACCGCTGCACCAAGTGGCAACATGTCCTATACCGGGGAATTTCAAGCTCAAGAACCAGTACCATCGCAAGGGAATTACCCCTGCGGGGTTGCTCCCACCGACCAAACTCTTCCACCGGAGAATTACCCCTATGAAAATGTCGCACAAGCAGTTCCGAGCAGCATAGAGCACGATGAAACAGGATTACCAAGTTCTGGCACAAACTTCTACGAAGGGGACTCTTTTGAGCATTTGTTACGGAAGCAGCCGAGTAATGCTAGTGTTAACGCAGTCGAAACAAGTGGAATTTCAGCGCCTGCGACTTCAGATAATAGTTTTGATTACTACGCTCAATCTAACTTCAGGGTAAGTGTAATATACGTTTATTAAGAATTGACCCTTCGGTACCTAGATCGCCCAGAAATCCTGGTAACCTTTTTTAGAATAGATTAAACTCAGTATTATTGAGAGATGTTTGCACCAACTTTGGATGAATAGGGCCTTTACTCGAACAATTTAGACTCGAGTAGGCATAGGATATTAATTATTTAACGAGAGTACGTTACTAATATTTAGTTTCTGTAAAATCGTTTTTAGGAATCAAATATTGCGAATGGCGCAAAGAAAGAAGAAACTCAAGCCCAGACCAAGGAAGAGAAGAAGACCAAAAAAGACGATAACAAGAAGTCAGAGAAACAGAGTGGCGTAAGTTTTCTATAGTTTCAAATTGCAGATTCCGAATCAACCCGGAATTGAGAAACATGCAGTAGTCGTATTGAGCTAGTTGTTGACCGTATGAGCGAAACATGTGCTGTGTTTTCCGAGGTCTTGTTTTATAGTTTGTGTGCGTAGGTATATGGTAGAAAACAGATGTTTCAACAAGTTTAATTGTTAGTTTATATTGTGTGTAAGGGGGCGGTTGTTTTAAACAATCCTTAAACAAACGAAATTTTGACTTCATTTTATTTAGGGGTTATTTACGTCATTCGGCGGTTTCTTGAAATCTTTCATTCCCAAACGCAAGAACGAGATTATCTTATTCGGGGCAGATTATACCCAAGAGCAAAATGAAAAAGCAAAAAAAAAGAAAACGCAGTAAAATGAAAAACAGTATAAATACAGTATTAAATTTATGTAAATTTATGAGAAATTGATGAGCAATGAGTGATTGTTCATTTGAGTGACAGTGCTATTTATCAGTATAATCATATATGTGTAATAATGTGTGTCCTCAAGGCACGCCATAAAATATGGAATAAACTACACTCTTCTACAAGCATTATTTTATCGTGTGATTGTTTAAGCATTTTTCTGTCGACGCCAACCGTAGTGGCGTGACTGGCGTCACGAAAGTCTCCCCCTCCCCCTTCAAATCGCTCACTCCCCAGAAAAATCCTATTTTGGCATCTGAACCGGTATGGAGAAGAGCGAAAGGCACTTAATTGGTCCCAATTTGACCTTCTATGTTTTGCTGTGTATCTATCGTCGTAATTGAAGTCATGAAGAACGTCATGTGTTTGTTCTTCAGTCATTTAGCATTCCCTTTTGCTTTCACCCGTTCCAAACTGTCGGGTTATGGCCTAAAGCGGCAGTAACGTCATAGACTATGTAAAGTGTAAACGGTCCAAGTTTTCCACCGTTTAAGCTAAACGGGCTTGATAAAACCGGCCCCTGGGCTCAACAAGAGCTAGGGCGGCCAGTCACGTGACTTTAGTTTTGGCGGGAATTTGTATATCATCATCCCAAGAATTTGAGAACGATTCAAGGTATGCAAATTTATTTGTATTTTTTCAATTGTTTTTTATACAACTTTGTTTCGCTTTTTCTTTTCAAGTACTTCTTTCAGTATATTATACCTTAATTTTATACATTCTGTTTATATTAGGATGGTTTTAGAGTTATATTCGGAACAAAATAATTTTGTAAACAAAGGATCTTTTAATTTATAAACTTTATTATAGATAAAAAATTGTTGTTTCGTATTTAAAAATCTTGTCAAATGATTTATATGCCTTACTCAGAGCGAATTCAAAGACTGTAAAATTAAAATATTCTTTCCGGCTCCAGGCAATATAAACTCATTTTATGACAAGTACTGAGTTTATATCTTTTTATCTTTGGTTGTTATAACTGGCAGAATTTGCCCAGTATTGTAGTACTTATAGAGAAGTACGATAGCACTTTATAATATAACCTGAATTATTCATTATTTGGCAGCAAATTTAATATGCATGTAATTATTATAAACCCGGCCTTGTAATTATTGTATTCTCTTGTGGTGTTTATTATAGGTCTCTTTCTAAATATGTACAACCAGTTGTACTACAAATATTACCCCTTGAAAAATTATCTTAGAATGTACTTACCTCCAGCCAGAACCCGGATACATTATAATCTTGATTGCATACCTGGATATACCTGGAGCCAGTATAAGAATAATTTTTCACTGACAAACTTCTGCCATGAGTACTGTACATATGTTTCATCCCAAATCCCAAAAGAGTATACGTTTATAAAAATTCTATGAATCTTGCATGTAATTTCCAGTGTACATATGCAATTGTGTGATTCAATCCCCAGGTGCCTTAGAGAATTTCTTGTACATTTGTAACCCTAGCAACAAAAGGAATTTTGTTTTAGACCATATAATCAGCAAATTTGTTTATATTACCTATAGTAATGATTTACCAGTAAATCAGCTAGGACATACCAGTAAATCTTTGAACAAGTGACTTGGCTGAAAAGTATATGAGGTCCCACTTTAGGATAATATTATACATTTATGCAGGGGCTAGGAAAGATTGTTAAGGGGAGGGGGCATATATTCATGTTAACAGACTACTATATATAAAACCCTTTAATCAATTAAATTAAAAAGAAACTAATATATACTGCTGGGGCCGGTCGACTCAGAAATACATAACTCTGATTGGACAATTCTGTCCTTAACTACAGTTAAACGTTAACTAGTCTTTTATACAATTAACTGCCCCCTGAACAATTAATATATGAATATTTGCCTCCCCCCCACTTACTGTAATGATCTTCTGCGGCCCCAACATTTATGGATAAACTGAAAAGTGTACTTGTATTTTGCATATATGGTGAGTTCACAAAATTTTACTTAATTATTATTCAATTCCTGGAACACTAAATGTATTAATTATACATGCAGATCGAGCTAGATTTTTTATCTTTAACCAAGGCCTTTTGCCCGGATAAAGTTGCCTTAATTTTTTTCTTCAATTTATATTCAAACTGAATTAACTGATGCCTCATCTAGACATGCATGATCATGATAAACGCATAGGGATAAGAGTAATTTTAATTTTTAATTTTATTCTGCACCAAATACATCCCTATATAACCCAGCTGCATGTGCTGAAGCAAAGCCTTTATTGCTGGACACTGTGAATACTGTATGTGCAAATAATTTAGATCCACTGATTTGACAATTAACTAAGCAGTTAAAAGAGGAATTCTTAACAGGTAAAATTCTCAAACACTCCGTTAAAATGTTCTGTTAATTAACAAGTTTTGTATGACCAATATTTTGCCCATATGATATTTTATGAAAAAATGTGACAATGTGGGCTACAACACTGTCTACTGATATTCCGTCACAGTGCTGTTACAGACACATGATATACAAATATCAGGGTCCGGTTGTTCGTAAGGTGTGGAGCTTAAACAGTGTATGAATAAGCCAATTAATGTTTACAAACTCATATGTACATCTTGTGAAAGACTGAACAGGCGTCGAAAGAACTTTTGATTAGGGGGGAGGAGGGTAGGGGCTGCGTCTATTCGGAAAAAAAGGTCATGGTGAGATCCCGCGCAGCACCTTAATTTCCCCCCATATATGCTTCAGTTTGGTGACTGGCCACTTTCAGTGACACAAACTAGCACGGTAAAAGAGTCTTTGGCATGGGCCACCTCGGGTTTCAAAGGGCAGACTGAACCTGCATCTTTTCATTCTTTTGCGCTAAATAATATGTACTTTCATTGAAAATTAAACTATTTACCTTGAAATATTTCAGCTAGCTCAGTTATTCAAATAATGGATGTCAATTTTGTTTTTCATTTTCAACCTATCTGCCGTTCCAGTTAGACGCCCTACGGACAAATGGCCCTGTACATCACTATTAATCAGTATTTTCCTTCAGGTCATTGCTCCGAGGCGTACTGGTTTTTAGTGACTCCTATATACTGTATAGTTTTACAGATAAATATTTTGTTCAGGTTTTGAGTTTCTATGGATGATCATGACGAAAGAATGGAAGCTGATACAGCTGCATTGGATGATTTAAAATTATTGATTGAGAGTATTAAATACCGACACGAAGATTTAGAATTTCAGGAGCAAGCTCTGAAAACCATCGCATCTATATTTCGGACCAGTGGTAAGATTGCTACATTTGCAGTGTATTTTTTAGTTGTCTTTTTATTTAGACGTGCAATTGCCAGATATGCATGAAAGATTTACAAGAAAGCATACGTGGTATTTTTTTAGTTATCGTGTAGAAATATAGATAGTAGGTCTAGCAGATCTTTGTTGCGAAAATCAGGCGTGATGTCTCTCTTGGAATGTGGCAGTGATCTAGATGCTCACGTGTTAATGCTATTGGCAGGGCCACCTCCTGCTATTTCTCAGAATTTCTTGATTGTTATATGGCGTTCTATACTTCTATTTGGTCTGGATCGGGCCATTTTTGTTTGACTCATAGCATTTCTGTGCATGAGAAGTGCGACGCTTGCCCTGTAGGCCTAATGGTCCACCGTCCAGGTTTCTACACTCCTACTTACGTTGTTATTTTTGAAGTTCAAATTGTTATTTACAAATTTCCTTTAGCAAGACCTCCGGCCGAGGGTCAACAAAACGCACTGCTTTCCCGAAGTGTCAGTAACTATGTGATATATTTGTTGTTATATCTAGTGTCAAAATGAAAATAAACCAAAGAATTCGAAGAGCTAATTCCTAGACTTGTATAGATTAGAATATGAAACAATATAAAGTTAACTTCAAAAACTTTCCGGTGATTTCCATGGTCGTGTTGCTAGGGAAAGCATAGCAACAGGCATGAAATTTCATAATTTGCATTAGGGAAAATTATGAAATTTGATGCCCGATCGTGTTGATCACGCGTAATCATGGCGAAGATTTAAAGCCCTCCACGCGTGGATCATCTGAGGAAAACAGAAAAAATGAATTGTGACACTAGGTATATAACAATAGAATATAATAACTATAGTTTGCTGGTTTGGTTCTTTCTAGACAATACATCGAGCTTCTTGGTTCATACGAATGGTTTAGAACACATCTTAAAGATACTGATATCCCCTGACGACCAACCAACCTCGCTTAGAGAGGCTTCTCTACATGCATTGTGCGCCGCTTGTGAAAGTAATGGTAATAACATATGCTGTCCATGTTAAACGTGCAATAGTTTTAGAGAATAAGGACATTATTATGTAGTTCTTGCATGTACCGTATTAACTTAGGCCTATAATATTATAATAATCTGACAATGCTTATATGGTTTTTCTAGGATTATTGAGATTAATGATAAATATAAAAGATAGTATTAGTGTCAGGGGAGGCTTTAGTTAGGGATTGTTAAGATCAACTTTGTTAATAGATTCAGATTTTAATATGAAAATTGACCCAGGGAACTATTAGAATCCCTCTCTTTTCTCTAAAGGGTTGGGTAAAAGAGCTTACGGGGTTAAAATATGAAAGCAATGAATTACCTAAATTATTTCATAAATTATTGTGTATAAATCAGGTGAATTAATATTGTGATGGTGCTGCTCTGAGTTAGAAACAGGTCAAGCTCAAAATTACTTTGATTGTCGAGGTTTTCATTCAGGAATATTCACGTTTCATCACTGTTCTTGTAATTTCAGCTAGCGTCCGACAAGTATTGTGCACCCAAAAGATCTTTTGTGTACTGAAGAAATTTTTGTTGATGAAATCGTCGATAAGATTGCAAACAATCTCTAGTTACTTACTGATTTGTCTAATTAAAAACAATGGTAGGCCTAAGTAGAATGTTGATGGTGATTTATGGCAACACGAAGTAGGATCAAATGCGATATAATTCTCATCAGTCGTACCAATACTTCTTCAATTCTTTTTTCTATTCCAGAGAAAGGGCAGAATCTGGCGAGGCAGACAAAATGCGTTGAAACATTACGTTACCTTTTCAAGTACGTTTTATTCCCATATAGCTATACTCTGTAGAAACAGACTGTTAACACAACTCTTTGTTAACAAATTAGTGATTCATGCAGCAAACTACAGAACATGCATGCAGAAACCCCGGGCCTCGGTAAAACGATAACATGAAAGAAAGTAGTCATAGCAACTAGCAACAGCCGTATATTTTCCAGTGAAATCTAATACAAGTGGAACGATAACTCATTTCAAGCCGACTTTGTGCTCAGTTTGCAAGTAGACCCACTCTTTTCTAAATGTTTTTGTGAAAAATAAACATTTTTAAATTGATGAAGTTTTCATAAAATAGTAAAATAGACGTAAACGCGAAGTATCACGACTGAATTTCCCAAATATGTAATCAGATTTTAAAAGAATGCTGCCGTTACGAAATGATATTGAAGCAAACACAAAAAAAAGACAAAAATTCCGTGCGTTTTTTTGGAATTTTTGTTGAAAGTTTGAGATACAACTAGATCTTCAAACTACCAAAATAGTATCTTATCAGCATCTTAGAGCATCTTATCACCGAGGCACAACTAGGTCCAGGTTGTATATAAAGCAAATATGGACGGTAAATTAGTTCAAGCGATCAACAACGAAGCAAGATGATTTGAGAAGAGAGCAATCACTTCATTTCTACGTTGATAAATCCTCTCGATCAACTGTTTTTCCGAATCATGATCAAGGCATGAATGAATTGGAGGATGATCATAGAGTTAAATTTAACAAACATACGGCTAACAAGTATTTCATACTTTCATATACGGGAAGCGACATTGCGAGGCAGTCCTACGAGAAGGAAAACCAAGTGATAGATGTCAGTTGACGTACTTTAAAAATCAGTAACCTCGGGGATTATATATTCGCTGATTATGTAACAAAGAGGGCCCTCTCTACAATAATTTGGCCTAAATTTTGCACTTTCACAATTTTTCTGCACATGCGCTTTAATATACGTTCATTTAAAAGCGCAGCAAACCTAAAACAGAATTATAGCTACATATTAACAAAGCGTACGTATTTTTAAAAAGTATAGATATTCAAAATGTTAACAAACCGTTTGTTCACGGACTTGACTTCCACTTAAGTATTTCAAGAACAATTTACTGTGATGTTTTTCCAGGGATGTTCGTTCTCCATCGCATTCTCCACGCCTTCCAAATAGACTAGCGGAATACCTCTCATCAAATTGCCAAGAAAATGAAGCTCTGATGAACCTCTGGCAAACAGCGACACATGCCTTGTCTGTTTGTGTTTATAACCCACAAAACAGTATGCATTTAATTTCTATCGTTTTTGTTTTGCTGCGATTTTTTGTGCAATTTTCTTATTTTTGTATATACTGCAGGAGAATGAGCGTATACTTTTCGGATGTGCAAATAGGGAGACATGTATAGCTATAGCTATAGAAATCTTTTGATGTGGAAAATACTTTCAATTATCATCCAATGGTTGCAATTTTAATCATTTTATAACACAGTTTTTTTAATTGAAGATGACAACCAAATTCTATGTTCGTCAGCGTTTCCTGCTGTTGTCGCTTATCTAAGGAATTCCGATTATCCACGTATACAAACCAGTACCCTCACATTTCTAACAAATTGTTTAGCAAATAATAGTAAGTATAAAAATTCAAAATTCCTGTAGTCTTATAAATATTAATTGCACTTGTGAAGTCGTTGTACTTTTTTGTCTAATTATTCCCAATATTCGCCATTTTTTAAATAAATCCCCTCTTTCTTCTCCAGTTGGCTCATATAGAGTCATAATTTAAACCAGTTCAGTGTTGCCTTGAAACACGCTCTCCTTTAGGTCGTTGTCAAGTCAATTTTCGTCTGGTAGGAGGTATAAGGGTATTATATGATATATTTCGAGAAGACCTGCTTGCTGGTGGCCAAATACCTTCCACTGTTCTTCAGGTCTTGATATTGACAATAGATGCAGCTTTGCGTGACAATGGTACGCTAACATTTATTTCATGAATATACATAATATTATATACTCGTCATACTGCGTCGACGTAACAGTAGCTATCAATTACTTCCTTTCCATAATTTTTTATCAGACTGATCGGGGGCGTAACTAGAACAATAATTGTGTGTGTGTGTGGGGGGGTGAATATTCATATATTGGGGAGTTTTTTAGCAGCAACTGCGGGTACGAGATTCGTCACTCTCGCGCCTTGTTTGCTTACGTCATCAGCCAAAACTCGTAGTCGTCGAGTTTTTGCGGACGAGTTTGTTGGCAAATTTCGTACTCGAAACTCGAAAGCCCAACGACTACGAGTTTGTGCTGATGGCGTGAGCATGCAAACAACGCGTGAGAGGCGAATCTCGTACTCGTACTCGTAGTCACTGCTATTGCTTCATAACGAGTTAAGATACGCCAAATTTGCGACGCGTACATGACATAAAAATTGCCACTAGTGTTAAGAAAACACTAAACGCTCTATTCATTTGTTTCACATACGGCCCTCATTTTTTTTATCAAAACGAGTTCTGCCAGACGGATTTCTATTGTAAACTATTGCACTTACAAAAGACATCCTTCGGGCAGATCCGAGTTGCGAAACAGTAGACTATCTAACGGAACAATATTGTAGAATGCCCCTTTCGGATACTGTTGGTACTGGATTTTTTCTGCAAGAGTACAAGAATTGCTGCTTAAGAGAAGGTGCAATATATTATTTTTTGTATCTTGATAGACATGTGTCGCGACAGTATAGCGGAAATGGAAATTGTTCCCCTCCTTTTGCAATCACTTCAGCTTTGTTTTGCATCTCCCAAGTTTAAAATACAGTGTTTGATAACACTTTCTGCGTGTATTGAAGGATGTGGTAAGTAGATGTGGGTTTTAGAATGGAAGTCTGGTGCGTCCAAAAACCAAGACCCAGTGTCCAGATTAGTACACCAGCATCGATCAAGCACGTGATCAAAGAATGTTCGTTTTGATATAGCTGCAGAATCTTTCCACTGCTATAAGTCCACCGGCTAAGTCGTATATGTAGGTATATAAAAATCCCGACAGCTAAAACCAAATTTTCTGTAAGCTAAAACCCCTAGAAAATTTTATACTGTAAACAGCGTGTCATAATACTGCTGAAAAAAACTGAGCATGCAAAAAAGCAGCACCTCAAGATTACTCTTTAATAGGTGTAAAACCAAGGTTCTTTCTAGATTCAAGTTGCAAACAGTTTTTAACGAATGAAGGGATGCCTACGGTAGTGAAGGTGTTAGCCGAAAATCAGGTAGGTTGCGTGTAGCAAGGACTGTTGGCAAATGTTGATTGTCACCTTGGACACTTTATTTACTTTGTTGACGATGTTGTATTTGAGTCCCTTCGAATTTTATAGAATTGCGAGGAGTTACAAAAGTCCGCTTTATGTGTTTTGCAAACGTACTTAGAGCAAACCAGTAAGTCTTTTAAACGACACCTGTTTTCTGATAATAAAAATTTTCAATCACATCAGTTTTAAAGGAATTGTGCTTAGGAAGCATGTGGTGCATTATTAAATCTTTCATTCATTTCTTCAGAAATAACGATACCGGAATGTATGGATGACGTCTTAAAAAAAATACAGATAGCGCCAGATAACTTACTTCAAGTGGAAAGTAAGCCGTCGTATTTAATCGCCTGTGACAATGTAGGAAAAACTGTTATTAAGGTGCCAGTACGAATACCGAAGTGGTAAATAGGTATAATAGTTGTTGGCCAGGGCACATTTCATGCAATATGTTTTTTTCCTGCTAGATGGAAAACAGAATATAGAAGGTGAAGGTGAAGTAGATGTTACAAATGTGGAGAATGGGAGTAGTAATGGTTGTGAAAGTAATGTTTTCATAGAAAAAAGAGACATAATGCCATCTGGACAAACTGATATGATAGTTAACCGGATTCAAGATTTAACGAATGAAGTCCGTTCTTTAAAAGAACTCTGTGCATTTACAGTGGTGAGAAGAATATTTGCAATTAACTTGAAAATACTATTTTGTATTAATTTATCATTGTGTCTATAGCTTAGTAACACACGATAAGTGTGCTTTTAACTGTAGCTAGACCCTGAGATAATTGAAGGTTTTTAGTTTCATATTATCCTTGTAGGAACAAAAGTCAGTCAGTGACAATCGAATTGATCGTTTAATGGATATGATGAACACTACAACGCGTTCTGGCGTGATTTTTTCGAATAAAGACGTTGACAGCAATAAAGCAGATACCTCAGTTAGCGAGACAGGTTTCACATGTGATGAGATGAAAGAGAAATTAGATCCCACAGATAGTAACTCAATTGACGACAGTCCTTGCAATCAGATTGTGGGTGAAGATATGCATAGCGAAAAAATTCAGAATGGTGATGATGTTGTAGGATTGTCAGAACAAAGCGAAGCCTCCAAGACCAGTGAATCACCTTTGCCTCACCCGATTGGAAATTCGATCAAAGCAGGTCCTGTAACTGATTCGAATGAGCAAATACCCATTCACTCAAATACGTTTGATTGTACAGTTGACCATAATCAGGATTATCCAATAGTGGAGGATTTGAAAACTAACCCGGACCCAAATTCCGAAATTATATCCAGTCAAAAGGAATTGGATTTAGATACAATTAGATCTTCATCTGACGTCTGTTCTGAAACCTGTAATGGTGATAGCAATTGCGAAAAAGTTGCAAACATTCGTTGTGGGGAAACTCCTAAAGATCAGAAGACAGGTGAGTTATCAACATCCCTCCAAGAACGATGTTATGCTCTTTTGTGTTCTGGAAATATATTTATTTTTCGTGCGCCCATCACGCGTAGAAAATTAAATTAGTGTAGTTACTTAATAAAATCATTCAAACATCAAACATCAGAATCTACGTTTCAATCTTTCTCGGATTTTTTGCATAGAAAAAATATTTTTTTATGGAAAAATATAACCCCATGATTTTCCTGCTTTGCTCTTACCTAATAAGGAGAAAAATCCAATGAACTCTCTAGTAAATCTAGCATAAAAACTGCCAAATCGTTTTTTCTCTCAATCCATCGAATGTAAACAACGCTGTTCATTATTATTTCAAATATAGAAATTATCAACAGCAGAGCTAGCAAGAGGCCGTTCATAACAACGGCCAATGAGGAAAGAAACAACGAAAAAAGTTCAAAACGACGGCTTCGAATGTCAGAATCTGATCATGAAGATTCTCCTTCCCCTGGTCAAGAAATCCTTTTTGAATCTCCAGTTGATAAGTCTGTCGATGTTGATATACCATTACATGACGTGATATTGAAAGCACCTTTCCCACCCAGGAAAAAAAGAAAGGAGCCTTTGTTGTTTGAACGCAACAAAAAAGGGGTAAATTTAATGAATTAATACGATCTCTTCTCCTTAACAGTATTATCAAAATGCCACTTTCTTGCTGCAATTATTCTTTTAGATGTTTTTATTGGCCTTAAGGCTATTAAAACCCTGTAATTATATAGACCCAGTAATAGCATTATAGATCAAAAAAGAAGCGAACTGTTGAAGTATGCCACCCGTGAAATTGATTTTGTTCTTGTCCCCTGAGCCCTGATGATAGGCTTGAAAATGTTTGCGCGATACCTAAAGACGTCCTACTTTAAAAGGAATGCTTGAGGAAACACTCTACTGATAGTTTTGCTGCATAATATTTTAACAATTCTAAAATTGAGTTAAATATGAATTTGTGTGAAAATCACCGTTATGGGATAATTTCTAGGCGTTAATAATCTTATTGTTAATTATTTTTATTCCACAGATTCCCTGATTTTGATACATTCACACCTTTTAAGTTCCATTTCCATTTTTTCGCATAATCAGTACATTTTCGTTCTTATTATTTTGGTTTCTGCAGAATTGAAATAAAAAAGGTTATTTTTATTTTAGATCTGCCGTAAATGTCTGGGATGTCGCGTGGACTTCGCTAAAGTAAACAGCCATAATTATCTCAGTAGTATACGACGTAGCATCAACACGTGTACTGAACATCGTTTGTTTGTTATGGAAGTGGTATCTGCTCTTCAAAGATACAAAAAATTTAAAGACACAAAAAAACGGTCACCAGATTTCGACTTCGTGTCGTCTCCAAAGGTTAACGTGCGCTGTGAAGGCTTCCCCAGAGAGGTAGGATATGACGCAGTTATTCGTTAGACATGTGAGTAGGAAGCATACGTTTGAGTGCACTACTGTATGGTTGTTTAAAGGCGGATTTCCACTTACAGCGAAATCGTTCGCTAGCGAAATATTTGCATATTTTCTTTTGAATTGAGAACAGTCAAGTCGAACTAATTTATTTATGCTGTTAAAATTCAAAAGAAAACATGCAAATATTTCGCTGGCGAACGATTTCGCTGTAAGTGGAAATCGGCCTTAAGTATTTTTGCGCAGTGCCAGATCTAGGGTTAGGCAGAATAAATTCAAATTAATTTTAAATTCAAAATGCTTTAATAGCTACGTTATAAGTTGTATTTTGGAAAAATTTGTATTTGGTATTCGAGTATGAAATCAATGGCAGATGTATTTTTAGATAGCAAACAGGGTAAAACCCGATGAACAAAAGAACAGTTCAAGGCCCACCAAAAAACCTTTTACTGCACGCGAAATTGAAATTCTCAAAGAAGGTTGGTAGTCGTTGCAATGTTTACGCTGATGAACAGACAGTGGGAAACAGCCCTTCGCGCTGCTTCTTTCAATTTATTGGCTTAGCTTTTTCAAATAATTTATGTCCATCGGTTTATATATATGTCCATCGTTAACAGGCGTGGACAAATACGGGCCTAGATTCAGTATCATTGAGAGATATTGCGAGTTTAGTACGAGAAGGTCTGCAAAAACGTTGAAACAGAAATACACAAGTTTAATGCAGGTAAGTTTTATTCCTGGGGACAGTTGTTTAAAACACGGCTAACTTAAACCAGGATATGCAAATCTTTACATTCAATTTTCGCAATTTGTCTAATTTGTTGTGAACAGACGTGTTCATATGGTCCCATCCAATTTGCAAATTTAGACACGATTAAGAAGCAAAACTAACTTGTAGGTGCTTTTCAGAGCGTTTGTAATTATTTTATTTTTTCTCGACGTAATAGTTTATTATCTTTCGTTACTGTTTTATGTTGTTCATGAGTGTTTTCACAGCTAAACATTGTGAATTTACTAAATCTGTGTGTGTTTTCCAGGCTACTTGCTATAAGCCAAAGAAACGATGTCCGTTCACTGTCCAAGAAGAGGAAAACCTCAAGGACGGCGTTTCTAAATATGGCTTTCAATGGAAAAAGATTTTGAATCATTACAGTTTTATGCCGCAAAGGACTCCGCAAAACCTGAAAGACAAATGGCGAAATATGTTAAAATGAGGATAAAATATATCCTAGGATTTCAAGTGAAGGTGTTTTTTTTGCAATTTCGCTTCCATCTTAATGTGATGACTATGATTTGAAATTATTTATATAAGTTGCCTGCTATAGGAGGTGAATTTAAATATTGAAAATTTTCAACGCTCAAATCTCAACAAGGCTGTATAAGGTTAAAAAATGTTGGTATCTATATACTCTATTAATACAAGTTTAGAATGGTTTAAGGTTGACTGTGTGCTAATTTGTCGAATTATATAAAATGTTTTTGCTAAATTCACTCTATGTGTTAACAATTACTATTGTTATAATTATACCTAGTGCTTTCCTATTGGACAAGAGGTCCACGCGTAAAGGGCTTCAAATCTAAATGATTAAGCGTGATCAACACGAGAAAGCTTCAAATTTCATAATTTTCCCTAGGACAAATTATGAAATTTGATGCGCATTCCTATGCTTTCCCTTCGGAAATCACAGGGAAGTGGCGAACATGTATATTTTTTATGACAGAATTTTTCTACTGTTTTTGAAGTTAACTTTATATTATTTCATATTCTAATCTATACAGACACTGTTTAGGAATTGGCTCTCCTTTGGCCTCCGGTTTATTTTTATTTAGCACAAAACACACTGTTTTCCTCGGCGTTAGGTAATAAATGTTAAGTAATATACAATTACTTAATGGTTTCCGTGTTTGGATGGCCTGATCCAAACACGCGGGAATGTTGCGAGAGTTATGAAAAGCGCGCGAAATTTCCGTGTTTGGATGGCCTGATCCAAACACGGGCTTCAACCAATCAGAACACGCGTTATATACATGTTATTTTATAATTCAAATTACACAAAGGCCTTGGGAGTTGGGAAGCCTGTTATGATTATGCAAGCAAACGGAGGGAGAAATATAATAATATGGGCCCACCCTGAACTTCTAGAGTTCGGTTTCCCGATCCTTCTTATCTTCTCTGTTTGTTGGTAGTACGTTCAAACATGGGGCTCGGCGGTATTATTGGAAGTTGGTTATCATGTGACGGGATGCGCATCTTTTTTCTTTTTTTATTTCTAGTTCCTGAGCGTTTATTCGTAAGCAAGAGCTGAGGATTGGCAAGCCATACCATTTGTTTTCCCGTTTCGACCGAAGTATGTGAAGCATAATTCATGAGCGAGGAAAATTTTTATTTTTTGCAAATAAAGATAACAAGATGCCAACAACTTTATTGACGTGAGTAAAGATGTATTGCCTACCGATGCGTTTATTATTTTACCGATATACATATACAATTCGTATTTATATATAATATTTTTATTGTGCGACTATATTAGTATTAGGCCCCCGAAGCCTGTCCTGTCGAATACCTGATGAGTGATTAGAGGAATATGATCAGGGAAATATAACGAAGGAGGGTGTGAGAGAAGAGGTCGATACATTCATGTTTGAGGTACTTTGACTTGATTTATTTTTTTACAAATCACCAGCTGGCGGAGACGGAGCCTTTTCTGAATTCTGATTGGCTGTAATATTAACAATATCTAACCTCGGTTAGAAATCTATATTTTTTTCCTAAAGCGAAGCCTTTCATGAACAACTGTATCAACTTGAGATAGCGACACCCTAAGTGAACAGTCTTTCCTTGCAGGGTCACGACACAACAGCAGCTCCATTACAATGGATCATTCGTCTTCTTGGTATTAATCCTGATGTTCAATCACGTTTGCAACAGGAAGTAGATATTTGGTATGGTAAGTTCGCAATTTCTTTTCTCTGGGTGTTTCTCCTAAAATTTTGTTACAATGATCGCCTAAGAATATCCGGAATCAATCTCGTGCCCAGGGTTTTGATACCTACGCTCTCTGGGTACGAGGTTGATCCAGAGTATGAAAAATAAAAATGACAACAAAGCGATGGTTTTAAAGTCTGGTTGATCAACGTTTACAAGAAACCTATTTTTCCACGAAATTGGTTATACCAATATTATAATTTTCCCTATTTTGTATGAAAAACCGTCACCAGCAATTTCAACAATAAATTCGTTTATATAAAGTACCCTTTTGAAGTTGTACCACGTCACAGCAGTCTCGACTTAGTAGCTACGGTATGGCGCAAAAATTTTAACACTCAAGATTGACCTGAACGAATCTACACTCTCGTACACAATGAAAAGAAGAAATGCGCATGCAACCAAATTTTCAGGAAAATAGCTGGGGTGAACACATCTTAAGTAATATTTTGACGAACAATCAGTGATGGTATTTTGTAGAATCTTTACCGGCTGATGGAAAAATAAACCCTGAAAATCTGAAGGACTTAAGTTATCTGGAATGTGTCGTGAAGGTGAGATATAATTATACTAATAATGAATGTTTTCATGAGGTGATAGATTGAATAGCGAAGCCGAGTTGAATCAGTGAGTTGAATGGAAAAGTCCATCTTTTACCGAATGAAAATGTTCTTTCTTTTGCAGAAATGAATTTAGCATAAAAAAACACCGAAATAAACCATTCTAATGTTACTAAAATATTTAGTAAGGGAACAATTTGTATTAATTTTATATATGATAATCCCATTGGCCATACTATTTAGATTCGTGTTCAAATGCGCGCGAGCGTTACCGGCACGAACTGGTACGATCGATATTGTGAGTCATTGGAAACTTGCAATGGAATACTGACGTTTGAGAGTACCGACTAATAGAGTATAATTTAAGGGGAAAAAATCAATTCAAACAGTGCAAGCCTTGCCACTTTGCATTGGTTTCTATTATAGGAGGGATTGCGATTGTTTCCATCTGTACCTCTCTTTGGTCGTGAATTGACGGAGGAATGCAAATTCGGTAAGATTTTTTTACAAAGAAAAGTGACATGCAGCGCTGCTGGGTAATTATAATAATCCGAGAATGAACTAGTTTATCTTGTGAGATGATTTCAGCTTCATTTCTAACCTTGCATAACCCTCAGTGATCGAGCTGAGTAAATAACAGGAAATGGTTCAAAAGTTGAGCATTTAGGAATTCTAGATTGAACTGATACTTATTCACTATTATAAACGACGAGTGAAGCAACAACCTATAATATAAAAACCTTTCAAAATTGTTGACAGTCCCTGCATGGAATATTTGGCCGCTATCTTTGAAGCTATAATCTCAAGCTGAATTGGGCACAGGTGCCAGTTTCTTTCTATTGTTTTGGTTAGCGTGATGGTCGGTTGCGGAGACAAAAACAATGGAATTGGACTAGTGGTCCAGTACTGGTGCCTATATAATTAGGGCTTCAAATTAGCTTCCAAGAGGGCGACCGATTTATCGTTCTAGTTCACATAGAGCGTCACTGGCGGCTATAGCGTTTCTTCATCTCGTTAAAGCATCATGGTTAAAAGAGTCTAAAAATAAGATTTTTCAAGTCCGTGTTCCTGAAGGATGTAGCATTATTGTGGCTTCAATAGGTTTGCATCGTAATCCTGAGGTATGGGATGATCCAGATACGTTCAATCCTGACAGATTTCTTTCAGAAAATAACGTTGGAAGACAACCTTTTGCCTATGTTCCTTTTTCTGCTGGACCAAGAAACTGCATTGGTGAGTAACAAATAATTATATGAACAGTCATATTCCGTGCATATTAACCAGTCAGATTGCGTGCTTCACTGTAGTTATTACATGATGAAATTTCTAGCTATTTCTAAGAATTCATGTTACAGTATGATATAGATCAATCCTTGAAGCCTAGCCTTGAAACATTGATGCTTAGAAAAAAAACGTTCAACGTGTTTCGTTAACACTGAAACATGTTACTGTTCTGGATAGACTCTGGATATATTTTTTGTGAAATATCTAAAGAACGTTAGAATTGAACGAAAAGTTTTCTATCATTTATCGATATATATTATGCAAATTAAATCTTCATCATCGCTATTATTATTAGCGTACTAAAATTACTGGATACTGATTAATTCATCAAGTATTTTATTAATTGTACTGCTGTACAATTATCATTAATTGATGATTTTGCCCAGATAAAAAAATGGCGGAAAGTTATTTGCATATACAATCTAAACAGTCTTAGATGAACTGAAAAAGGCCAAAAAGGAAAACGCAAATACTGTCCAAAGCACAAAATAATGGATACAAGTCTGGCAGGACTGTATTTTTACAAGAAACTATCGTGTTTGCATTGAAAATTACGCCCGAAAGTTCGTATTAAAACGCTATACGAATGCTAATAATTATGTTAATAATAAAAACTAGCCCCGGCAGTTCGTCCAATTTTTGCAAAATTTTCAAACATCACTCGTACTATTAAACGTACTAATTAAATTCGTACTATTGTACTCACCATCGCATCATGATACCTATATTTATCAATTTGTATTTTCGTTGCAGGACAAAGATTTGCTATGATGGAAGATAAAATAGTATTAGCATCCATAATACGTCATTTTAATATCAAGTCTACTCAGTCGTCTGATGATATTAGGAAAAGTGCTGAAATTATTCTGAAATTCACAAGTGGTATTATGGTCGAGTTGGAAACAAGAATTTTTTAAACATGTTCGATACCGCTCTTCAAAACTTGAAATTACTGACCTCTACAGTCGACCTAGACCCACTGAACTCTCATGTACCTGGATTGATAACTGATGATTGAACCTGGCTCACATTTGAATGTCCACATCAAACGATTTCTATAAATTTAGGCTGAAATATCCGACACTCAAACATTAGGCATTATAAAACAATGTTTTCGTAATAGTGTCATATTTGGCGAGGTTTTTTTGGCTTTTGTAAGAATTCTCTCCTTATTAAGCCTCTCCAGCTTTGAACTTGAAGAGTGCTTAAAAATTAATAAAATACCAACATCTACGCTTTAATAACTAGGCCAAAGATTTAAGATTGAACTCATTCAAATTATGCATGAATGCAACTGTCAAATTGTGAAAAATCTTTGGGTATGAAAGTCACCCAATAGAAAATCCGTGATTATGTTGAACAGAAATGAACGATTGCTGCGGCTAAAACCAACATACATGCATGTCTTAGCATTTAGCTATGTGTGAACTAATCTGGTATAGGGTATTCCCAAATGCAGACGAAATTGGGGAAACAAAATTTTATAAACCCAGTGTAAATTACTGGGCTTTACAACTGGATATAGTATAGTATATAACTCTCCTGACGAAGGTCCTCAGGTTGAAACGTCGAGAAGTTTTTTGTCTATTTTAGACAGTTGTTATACCACATTTGATGCTAAGTTCTCCTGTATAATATATTCCGTATGTTCTCATCGATGCTGCCAGCAAAAAATGCCATTAGCGTATTTTTATTCAAAGAACTCAACAAAGTCAAAACCGAGCAATTTGAGATATTTCGAAATAAATATATAAAAAGAAACAAATCGAAAATTTTTATTTTAGGTCTATACTTATATTTTTAGTTTTGAGATGGCTTTATGCTTCAGAATTTGGTATTTTTTCATATTCAATTTGCTGAAGTTGAGATACTTATTTCACTATTATGACTTATGTGCTTGGCCTTCGCAAGTAGATTCACAGTTTGACTCCTAAAAACGCGGTAGCGTTGAAACTAAAGTTGAAAGTTTTACACCGGCCCTATCAAACTGAAAGGTTCCTCTTTCTCATTTACCTTAACGATCGACGCATTAACAAATATAACCCCGCAATGCAGGTATGAAAGGTCTTAATTTCCGCATTCCAGACGTATAAATCAGTGCATGGAACTGATGGAAGTGCCAAATGCAACATTTAAAATAGGCCTTAACTTTTAAACCATTATACATTGTTTCATCCGATTTTATCATTCATGTATATGCTTATTAGTATATTTTTTATATAAAGTCAATACACCTGTTATACCTGAATAAAGCAATGCATGATTTGTTTACTAACCTTTAGCGGATGGAAAATTAAACATAAGTGATTATCATTCAGCAAACAATACTATAGTTAGGAATTATATAGTATACCTTTTACGATTATTTCAGTCCGTTCTCATTGACATCTTAGCGGAACAAAATCTCGGCTAGATTAACAACTATTTTGTACTGTAGCCGTAGGTAAGTGTGTTTTCTTGCTTAAAGTTTATAGTTTATAACTCTAAATCCAATATTACCGCAAAGTTTCTATTACCGTCGTGTGTAAATATATTTACTCGTCTCGTATGTGTTATCCACTTCATTTTATTTCTTCAATCTGCCCGGAGAAATTTAAACCTGCGACTTGCGCCTATAGAGCCTATATGTCTACTGATTTTCCCCCTCGTGAGTTAAGTCGGGTGTGAGAATCGAACCAATCATCAGAGGTAAAAGGTAGCTCCGTGCTCTGCGGTTGTTCAAAATTAACAGCCTTTATTTAAAAATGCGTTAATATAAGGCCAAAAGTCAAATAAACCAAAGTTTCAAAATTCTCTCGTACATCTTGTGAATGACTGAACCTATACACCTTATATGCATTTAATTTCATGCATTGGAAATAAAATAATCGTTGTGAAAGGAACACAAGGCAACGATTGTATTATATCTGTTTGCTCAAATGTTTGCTACTCTGCATTCATTATGTAATCTGGCTCGATCAACAGGCAATAGCTAAAGCACAAAAGACAATATTGTATATTGCCACGTTTTCTTCAGAAAATCCTCACAGATGACAAGCACAAATACGATATTCACCATCTTGCTGTTTTTGAACACGTTCGTGTGGACTAGCGGAAACAAACAGTTTCACAAAGCCAAACGATCGACGGCACATGGCCACGACCTACACAAGGATCACGTGATATTCCTTGGGGAGGAAGCCGCTCGTGAGTTTTACGGATTAACACAGAAGGAGTCAATAAGAAGACTTCGGTGAGTTCAACTAATTTACGAGTGTCACCCTTTACTAGAAACAATCTATTTCAAACGATTCTAATCAGTATGCAGAACGAGTATATATGAATATCCCCCCGTACCCCACAAGCAGACACTTAAGGATCTTCCGAGGCTCCTGTCTCGGGAGGCAGTGTGAAAATGTAAAAATCCTCTCGGTTTATTTCAGAATGCTTGTACCTCGTATTGACATAAATAAGGATGGATATGTAGACGATAATGAATTAACTATATGGATACGTCACAAGTTACAACCTTGGACAGTCCACGAGGATATTGATGCAATATTCCATGATATTGATGCTGATTATGATAATCAGATTACTTGGGATGAGTACATGAAAAATATTTTTGGGTTTATTGAAAGTGGTAAATATTCAAATTAAACAATACAAAACGTAGTTAATGTCATTGGAATTTCCGCAGCATGTTTTAATTATAATTATATGCTTTCGAAAATATTTTCTTCGATATTCATGTTTCAGAGAAGGACAAGAAGTGGAGCAGAGAAAATTTGTATAAATACATAGAAGATGATCGTTTAAAGTGGAAGTATGCGGACAAAAATGATGACAAAAATCTGACAAGAGAGGAATTTGAATTCTTTCACCACCCACGAGAACACGAAGCGATGAGCGAATACATTGCTGTGGTATGATATTAATATATTTGTATGAAACACCGCATCGAAAACGAGATATTAATTTAATTAGTGAAAGCATGATAGCAGTGGGACTCGAAATATAATTTTGGAAGTGGAAGTGGATATGTGCTAAAAAATTGCTTTGTAGCCTACATGCCAGCTGGGTAACTTTTACCAGTACATCTGCCTGGAAAGTCTCCCTGGTTTTTTAATCTGTCCGATACCTGGTGAATTATTATTTTTTTACACTAACGTCAGGTGTACGTTAGGCAAAAGCAACGGTCTCGCGTCCACATAACACAATGTTTCTCTCAATTCGTGTAAGAAAGTGCCCAAATTAGTGGTATTGTATCAGAGGTTTGTTAATCTTCTTGAAAATTACAGCTTGAAATGAACGAACATGATAAAGATAAGGATGGATTTCTATCTTTGAAGGAATATCTTGGTAAGACTTTTTCCTGAGTCGGTAGGCGCAGACTAGCCATTCCTATCAATTTCCGTAGCAAGTGAAGGTATACCTTCCGTAGCAAGTGAAGGTATACCATATCCCCACTAATTCCACTCATTTCTTACTAATCCTCGCTGTTCCTTAGTCTGTTTAAATTGTATAGTGCATGACACGAGTATTTATTGTACTAATTTATTTATTGTTGCATGTACTCAACTGCTAAAACGCGATGATAGAACTTCTCTTTTTGATTAATCTGATTCTTCCGTCTCCAGATAACACCTTTGATTAAAACCCGTTAATTAGGGTAAAATGGGCGCAAAAAAAACAAAAACTATAAAATAGAGAGTAGCGACTTACCAGTTTGAATGAACGCATAATGGTGCTAAATGGTGTCGCCTTCATCCTAATTTAATTTAATTACTAGATGATGTTGTTCTTTCATTTTGCAGAAGCCCACCGAACAGACATTTAGATTTAAGACTTTTATATATAGCAGCCTATAAAATGATACAATGCGCTTGTTTAGGGATGAATTTGATTGTTGAAAGAGGAAAGTTTAGGGAGAGTACAGCTTGTCATTAAATTTTCAATATTTAAGATTCATTGTAATTGATTCCAATGTTTCAATGAACAGTGTCAAACACCTATATATATGTGGGTATTCATTTCCAAGCATAGTCTGGTACTAACTTCTTTAATCTTTACTTGTATCCAATCCGAAAGAGGAAATTCTTACTACTCTCTTACTACTCTTGTATTTATTTATTGGCTTTAGACTCCATTAATTCACCAGCGTTTGCCGCCCTGGATATGAAAAATTTTTACGAAATTTTTGACCTTAATCACGATGGCAAACTCGACTTGGTGAGCTGAGAACACTTTGTAATAATTTTAGACGTAACAGAACGTGTGAAGTACATTAAGAAAAGAAAATTTTACACCCTCCATTAAATACACAAGACCCAAGATTCACGCAAAACAGCGGGGGTGTGAATATTCTTCAGTTCTGGCCGTCCGATTTCTATTGTAAGTGTAATAGAAATCCGTCGGGCATAACTGCATGAGTATATGAATATTCACCCCGCCCCTCCTCCAATTATCGTTCTAGTTACGCCCCTGGTCATAGGAAGTAAAATAAATAAATATGAATTAAAAATAAAAAACTCTAATAGACTTACCAGATGTTTTCTATCGAAACGAGGTTTGTTTGAAAACGAAATTTCATTTTGCCTGGATCGCTTAATCATCTCATGCAATCAGAAGTACAAATCTACAATTTTGCAGATGGAAATTGAAATAATGAAGAAACCTAAAAGTTACGATAAAGCCGAAGATGAAGCTATACATCTTATGGAATATGCGGATGGAAATGGGGTAGATTGCTTCTTTTTTAATACGTTTTGGTTTCCATTTGTCCTAACCATCCAACCTCGTTCCAATGACAAAGGGAAATGCCCTGGGAATGAGGTTGCTAACAATCGTGAAATGTCATTATCATCCATGACAAATTGTCAGAGGTTAAACTATTCTCTTTATTCAAATCGGCCATTGTTGACTACACATACAGAGATATTCTATCATATCAGCCACCATGACATGCTTATGACAATTACCATGCAATAAATGAAAACCAGGCTAGATCTAGACCATAACGCCGTCACTGGTGTCATACTATTATTACAGATATTCAATTAATGTTTAAAATTACAGACAAAACGGCTTAACGAATTTTTTTTTTTCTTCAATATAGGACGGCAAGCTTGGTGTGGAAGAGTTCGCTGCAAATTATCATATATTTGTTGGTAGTTACGGTACACGTTTTGGCCAAGTTTTGCATGACGAATTTTAAATTAGTAAAGAATTATTAATCAAAATAAAGATTGTGGTAATGTATATAATTTCTGTATATATTATTATTTCTGTCACCGACATTCCCGTTTTTAAGATAGGAGCAGCGGCGTAGCCAGCCGGGCGACAATTTAGTCATGCATTCTGATATTTTGGTATTCATTGACTGTGAAAGCAATGAGTTTCTAAGAAATGAATAATGATAATAACATAAAATTTGCATAGCGTGACTAAAGCGTCAGGCTGGCTACGCCACTGGATAGGAGATCACGACATGGTAGGTACCTACGGTTACACAAGTGTCACAAAAGCCTACGCTATGGTACTGTAATATGTTTATTTTAAATCAAAATTCAAAATTCCAATTTTTGTTGGTGGTATAATATCACAGAATATCATGGGTTAGCTCCAAAAAGAGGTTCCAGCCTTTGGTTAGGACCATGAAGTTAGGGCCAATCAATTAATTATGCCATCAATTTTCATGCTCCAATCGGGTTAACCGACACCAATCCAGGTTTTTAAAGTACCGCAAAGATAATCGGACAAATGCAAATGTTAAAAATGATTATGGCCAGACTGAATGCAGGCCGGTAAGCGGTTGGGTGTGTAGGCTCCTGCGATTCATTTTTCAGTTTATTATTTAGATCAGTGTCGCTCGATTCCAGAAAGATATGGAGATTGTTTTTATTTTATCAACAAACTACACAGTCTAATACAGATACAGCCCGATTATAAGCACAATAAAAAAATGACCCATTTATCGATGCTGGTGACGTCACTTATTTCCAATACTTATAAAATCATACCAATGCATCATACATAATAGAAAACTCACTTTCCCCCTTTTTCGTAAAAGTTCTCCAGTTAAATGGTTTACTGACTTTCAGTGCATAATGTTGTCGTGCTTTAAGATATTATGATTAAGACAATATTTGTTGTGAGTGTTTTGTTCACAAATAAACGCACGTGCTGACCATACAATGAACGAGAAATTCCATTTTTTGTTATTTATGATGCATGTAACTCTGGGACAAAAGCCATTAGACGAACTATCCGTCTGAACGAATGATCCGTCTGACAGATCATTCGTCTGAGTATAACACAAGAGCTATCTAGAGAACCCTGTAGACAAAACAAAATCGAGCGTGGCATGGTAGAAAACACGGGCAACCGGATAGCCGGATAACCGGTAACTCCAGTAACTAATCATGGATAAATATTAATGTTCGATATCAAAATAAAGATTTTGGACATTTCTAGTTTGAACGGTAAATTAGATTAAGAAAAACAGAACTTCAATTTTTATAACTAAAATATCTATTTACATTTTTTATTCTAGATGCTTTCAGTGCATAATTGAGGTGAGATATTCAGTGTCATATTCTCGCCTTTCTTGAAGTACTCCTAATCAAACATAACAAACCTTTCTGGTACATCTACTCTACAATTTTCTATTTGTCGGTTATCCGGCTATCCGGTTATCCGTTACCCGTGTTTTCTTTCATGCTATCGCGCGTTTAGAAAGTGCACAGGAATCGGGAATTGTTTATGTGGTAAATAGAGTGCACAAGGGGCATTTATGATGAATTTTTCGTAGTTCTCCCAACCCCGTATTTGCACTAACTTACTAACAGACGGATAATGCGTCGAGGCGAACTACCCACTTAAATTTGCCTTAATAGACGAACTATGCCGATAATTCGTGTTGACGGACGATACGTTTGTGTGCCCGTGTTTACACACAGAAGAACTAGACTGAGACGAACTCTCTTTTGCTTGCCCAAGTTCGTCCAGACGAACAATCCGTCTCTAGAATAAATCGGGCCAATAATTATCCAACATACTGGCTTTGCATAAATTAACAGTTGTTCAACTTGATCGCCCTGGACGGTACGGTACGTACCCATATGAAAAAGCTTTCCTATTGGTTGATGATAACAATAAAAACAATGAACTACAGAAATTGTTTTCTAAAAGAACGAATCATAAACACTGTGGATAGTTACCATGGGTCGCCCACGCGTATAGATCTGTTTTGAGTTGATCCAACGACTATACAGGGTGTATAAAAAAAAGGTAATCCAACTTCAACAAGCTATTGTACGTGAACTACTCAGTCTGTGAACAATTTTTTTTTCACATTCGGAAAGATCAGGGGCCGGTTGTATAAAAACGTAGTTAGCGCTAACTGCAGTTAAAAAGTAGTTAAAAAGCAGTTAAAAAGTAGTTAAAGTTAACTATCCTCAAGGGCATCGTTAACTTTCCGAATCGTAGTTAAAAATGGCATCTTGAGATTTTGAGGAGTGAGAAAGCATTAAAATCAACACATACCAAGGTTGTGAACTGTTATCCACTCAGAAAAGGCCCGTTGAAGCTTGTCCCCGAGCCGGTGCGGAGCACCGTGCGAGGGTACTAATTCCGCTCGGATATTTACACCCACGATGTGCAAATGCGAAATCAAAGTTGTCCGCCATTATGCAATGGACCTCACGCCATGGACGGTCTTCTACGTTATGCGCATGCGCCAGAGTGAACCACTAAGCTCTTGATTGGTCGAGACAAAAATTTGTATTTTCAAACGTCAATAAATAACTGTCATTTTGCAAAATTTTGATGAAATTTACAAATTTTATGTTTTCATAAAATAAAGAATATATGTATTTTTAATTAAAATAGGGGGAAACTCGAATGTGGTCAGGACTTTTCACGGTTTAACAAATAACAAGACCAAATTTTTGACCGAATTCACCATGTATAACAAAGTCGGAAGATTTTACACTTGATAATATTTCATCCACAGCTTTAAAAAGTAATTCTTTTGTGGTAAACACAACTTTAATATTCTCAAATGTATTTCACCATAAATCTGAATGTGTTATGTGATAAACGACATTATATATAATTTCATTTATAAACTCCGTTTTCATAATGACAAAAAGAAAAGAAAATCAAAACATTCCCGTGCAAAAACCAGTCGAGGCGTAACATAAAACTTCGGAAGTTGTATGAGACGTCTGATGTTATATTTCATGGTAATTAATAATTAAAATAATTTACCATAACACTGACTATAGATGAGTAACTTAACTTCCAGAAAAAGGTAAGAATCTTCCACGTGCAGAAAAAGATTTCCACACTTTTCTCAATTTCTTTTTCTCACATAGGTAATTTTTCTAACAATCATGTTACCATCTCTATGCTTAATTAATAACTAATTTTGTTAAACCGAGGCGAGGGGTTTCTGCATGCATGTATTTCTAGTAAACTTTCAATATGCTTTTTTTTTTCATTTGGGCAGCAACGGAGTATATTTTTGCTTCGGGAGACGTGTCGATGCAAAATTACGATCCTAGCAAAGATTAGCCATCTCCATTTTCAACTGCACGCGGTATTTTGACTCAAAGGGACCTTTTTATATTAAAAGCGCCTTTTTCTTTGAATTATTTTGAATTTTTTCCTTGTTTTATTGCACTTTTTCCAATATTTTAGATCAAAATACTGTCAATTTTTGTAAACACGAGTCCACAGTCTTGTTTAAAATCAATAATAGCGGTCAATAACTTCCCGATACTTCATGTTATTTCTCTGTTTAACAACCCCACGCAAGCTCCACGCAAGTTAACTACGTGATTAGTTAATCATCCGACTAACTACGGTTTGTGCAACGCAGTTAAGTCGTGTAGTTAACTAATCATAGTTAAGGATTTAACTACAGTGATTAGCGCTAATCATAGTTAAGGTTAACTACGTTTTTATACAACCGGCCCCAGGCTTTTTACCATCGAATGGCATGTTTTTAGTATCAAATGATGAAAAATTGAATACATACGAGGCTGATAAAAAATGTTAGTCGCAATCGCATATAAAAGCAGTGCATAACAAAAGAAAAAACAATTAATCCTGAACATGTCACAGCTTGCACTGGTTTTACGCCGCATTGCTTAGAATGTTCTCCTGATGTGATTTATTCCTACTTAATATGCATATGCGGGTAGTGTATTCAGAAGCAAAATTCTTCAATTAAGTCCCAAAGGGAGTTAATTTTCAATGGTCTTAGTCCCAATTCTCAGAGGTGAAAACATGCGATTTTGACTAACACTTTTTATCAGCCTCCTATTTCCTCATTTTTTCACAATTTGGTATTAAAAACATGTCATTCGATAATTAGAAGCCTAAACTTTCCGAATGTGAAAAAAATTCGTTGATAGAATGAGTAGGACACGTACAATAGCGCGCCAAAGTTGGATTACCTTTTTTTTATACACCCTGTACATACACTAAAGTTTGTTTAAATGTATGTTTGTAAATACTTTTGTTGATTCTTTAAACCCGACGAAAAAGTTTCAATAAATCATCGTACTGATGATTAACACCAATTTATTATCACATGCACGTATATAATCGTGACTCGCTACTCGCGTGGTTGGCCTTGCGTAATTTCTCGCACACTCACTGGTTACTCCGGAGTAACTCCCGAGCCAATACAGAGTGTATAAAAAAGCATTTGGAAATTAATCTATAGTTATAATTTAGATGTCCCCCACTATGCTAACCCTATTGATATGGGTAAAACATTGTCAGCTTTGTGCATATATACAGGGTGTCCCAAAAAAGTCCCCCCTATTGAACTGGGCCGGTTGTTCGAAAGATGGATAACTTATCCAACGGATAAGTCATTAATTACTTAGAAATTACTTAGATATTAGCAAGTTTCCTTGGAATAGGTTGAATGTTTCTTTGCATATTCGCGTTTATAAACTGATTAGAAGCGTATAGTAAATTTACCGCCTGTTATAAATGCGAGGATCTCCAAAAAACGCCGCTCGGAACGGAATGTGTAGGCAACGTGAAACGCTGCTGCGACAAATTGCACTTCGAAAACATTTTTAATAGTGAATACAATCATGATGTGTATTAGTTTGTTGAAACACAGTAACAGGAATATGGCATTTTTGTCCTATTTTATATAAATGTTTACAGTGTTACCTTGTATCTTTGAATTTATCCACTGGATAGTGGATTTAAACCACCT